TCTGGCTGGCTTAACAGAAGAGATGTTTGGTGAGTGCATGTAATTGTACACAACTTATTGACATTCCTTACATTAGCGCTTTTTCTTTCATTTTTCTGACAAGAGATGTACCTCACAAAGTTTTAAAGGAGAACACTATTTTGACCAAGAATTGACACTTCTCGTTAGCCCACTGTGCCTTATTTATCAATGAAGCTGAGAAAAGGATATTTTTTCTCAGCTGTGCTGCCTATAGCAACCAATATGTTTTCCCAGTTCCTTCTCTAGTACTGCAATGTAAAACAAAATGGTTTCTATGAGTAACACAGTCTGAGAGAATTATTGCTCAGAGCAAAGTGATGAGGCGCCATGTAATTTTAGAAAATAAAAAAATACTAAGACTGCAAAAGAAACATTTTTTCTGTGTTCACATGACCCCCTGATGAGTAGTGTTGGCAGCAATCCTACTTCAAAACAAGAGACAGGGTCATGGTTAGATGGCTCATCAAACTTACATTAAATAGTTTGTGTGCATTCTATACATGGTGTTTTTTTATTATCTGGGGGTTACACATAGAAGAAAATGAGACCACTTGATTTTTGCAATCATAAAGGACTGTAGAAAGTTCGTCATGGTTGTCTGTGAAGATTCTCTTTCTCATTTATCTTTGTCAGGACTCTTTGTAGCTACCATGGCCACGTAACATTAACCTATTACAACATTGCAGAACAACTCCATTTAAAGTGTATGTATAGCCAAAACTTTGTTTAGTTTTGAATGGAGTAGAGAAAACCCCTGTCAAGTTTTTATTGTTGCCTGTCTCCCACTGGGTGGAATCACCCTCTGTCCTGGAGACCCCTGCCACTGAAACAAGTGATGAGACATCCAAAAGTTTTGAATTGTCACCAAAACAAGAACTGAGGGTTAAAGTGTTTCTAAAGGCTCAAGTTTTTTTTTACCTTTATCCTATGCATGAAACTAAAAAAACCTGTGTGTAGCAGCCCCACCCCGATCCAGCGATGTCCACGGGAGCCTCAGTTCTCCAGGGTCTCTCACTCCTGATTGGCTGAGGTAGCAGCAGGAACAATTGGCTCCCGCTGCTGCCAACTTTATTATAAAACCCACTTTTTTCCTTAGCAAAGCTTCTGGTTCTCTTATTTAGCTACAGGTTTAGCGTAATATCCTGCCATTTCTCAAAACCCCCCAAAACAGGGTGGAGGCACTGCTGAGATTGAAATGGGATTAGTAGTAGTATAGAGAAGCAATATAATCCAGAGCAGCGCCCTTAACCTGCTCTAGATGCATTGGTAGACGTACCCTGTACTTTCCTAATACTTTCCTAACCCCTTGGCTCAGGCACCTCCCGGCCCTTTAAGGGTTTCAGAAGCCGGGAGGCGGGGTGGGGTTTTGGGTCATGTGACTGCCGTGACACACCTTCACGGCGGTCACATGATCGGGAAAGGTCCCAATCGAAAGAGGAGATCGGGACCTTTCCGTGAGTACCAGACATGTGTTCTGGGAGCGCGCAGGGCACGCGCTCTCAGCACATATGGTTTTTTTAATAGAACGCAAATGTGCGTCCACTCGGCATCTAGGCCAGACTCCGGGATACCGCACATTTGCATTCAGCCGGCGCCAAGAGGTTAAAAAGAACCTGTACTAGCTAGGTATTCTCACTGAATGGATAATGATAGTGAACACCCTTGTGACAATGCAAGTGGCTAAGCTAAGTGTGGCATTCCCCACACAGAAGCGAGGACTCAGAGGTGGGTATTTCAGGCCATAGCCAGAGTCTATATACAGTTGTGCTCAAATGTTTGCATACCCTGGCAGAAATTGTGGCATTGATATTGAAAATATGACTGATCATACCAAAAAATGCTTTTTTATTGAAGGATGATGGTCATATGAAGCCATATATTATCAAATAGTTGTTTGGCTCCTTTTTAAATCATAATGATAGCAGAAATCACCCAAATGGCCATGATCAAAAGTTTACATACCCTGGAATGTTTGGCCTTGGTACAGACACACAAGGTGATACACACATGGGTTAAAATGCCAATTAGAGGTCAATGTCCTACATCTGTGGCTTTTTAAATTGCAATTAGTGTCAGTGTATAAATAGTCAATGAGTTTGTTAGCTCTTACATTGAAGCACTGACTGGGCTAGATAATGAGCCAGATACTGAGCCATGGGGATCAGAAAAGAACTACGTAACAAGGTAACGGAACTTTATAAAGATGGAAAAGGACATATGAAGATGTCCAAAGCCTTGACTATGCCAATCAGTACTGTTAAGTCACCTATTAAGAAGTGGAAAGTTCGGGGATCTCATGATACCAAGCCAAGGTCAGGTAGACCAAGAAAGATTGCATACACAACTGCCAGAAGAATTGTTCGGGATACAAAGGGAAACCCATAGGTAACCACAAGAAAAATACAGGCTGCTCTGGAAAAAGACAGTGTAGTTGTTTTGAAGGAGCACAATATGATGACACTTGAACAAAAATGAGCTGCATGGTGTAGGTGCCAGAAAGAAGCCTTTACTGCATCAATGACACAAAAAGGCCTGGTTAGGCATGTCAAGGTGTTGTCAGGCATTTTATAACCAAGCTTTTTTGTGGCATTGGTGCAGTAAAAGCTTATTTCTGGCACTTCGACTAAACAGCTCATTTTTGTTCAAGTATAACTGTATTGTACTCCTTAAAAACAACCACACCATCTTTTTCCAGAGCAGCCTGTTTTTCTTTTGTGGTTGCCTGTGGGTTTTTTCTTTGAATCCCTGACAATTCTTCTGTCAGTTGTGTCTGCAATCTTTCTTGGTCTACCTGACCTTGGCTTGGTATCAAGAGATCCCCGAACTTTCCACTTCTTAATAGGTGATTTAACAGTACTGATTGGCATATTCAAGACTTTGGACATCTTTTTATGTTCTTTTCCATCTTTATAAAGTTCCATTACCTTGTTACGCAGGACTTTTGACAGTCCTTTTCTGATCTCCATGGCTCAGTATCTAGCCTAGTCAGTGCTTCCACATAAGAGCTAACAAACTCATTGACTATTTACACACTGGCACTAATTGCAATTTAAAAAAAGCCACAAATGTGGGACATTAACCTCTAATTGGCATTTTAACCCATGTGTGTCACCTTGTGTGTCTTTACCAAGGCCAAACATTCCAGGGTATGTAAACTTTTGATCATGGCCAATTGGGTAATTTCTGCTATCATTATGATTTAAAAAGGAGCCAAACAACTATTTGATAATAAATGACTTCATATGATCATCATCCTTCAATAAAAGAGCATTTTTTGGCATGATCAGTCATATTTTCAATATCAATGCCAAAATTTCACAATTTCTGCCAGGGTATGTAAACATTTGAGCACAACTGTATAGTTAAAGTTACTGTCAATATAGAACTCCAGCTCTATTTGAAACAGGTTCCCAAGTTACCCTTATTTATTGTTCATTCTACCAGAGGTACTTGAGCATGCTACCTTTTCAGCCCTATGGGAAAATGGAATTATGGGGCCTGAGTCATATCCTGTTAATGGTAGCTTGCAAGTAATTGTAGCTGTTCCAAATGTAGAAAACAAGGGTTTTCTTCCAATGGAGATCATGGCTATTGTCTGTCCTGACACAGGTAGTTAACACACAGCTCCAGGGATACTGGATACTAATTGTATAGCAGTACTTAGTGTCTTTCAGAAGTCTCTTGAATGAGGTCAGACTGTTTCTTCTGAGTAAGTTAATATCCCATCTGAACCTCAAGAGCTCTAGGTCCTCTCTCTTAGCTATAGGCATGGAGTGGTGTGTCATATTGGTGAGTGCCCAGTGGAAATTCCACCAGGAGGAGAGTGCTGAGAGTAACCTCCAGTATTGCCCCCGAGCTGCTCGGGATGGAAGTTATGTCCTCGTGGAAACTCCTGAAGAAATGGTGAATAAAGAAAGGTAGATGGTGATTACTAGTGTTACTAAGCCAATGACTCTGCATTTACTATATCCAGTCTCCCACAGTAGACAGAACATGGAATTGCAAATATATTAGTAAATATAAACTGCTAAATACCTTTTATCATCAGTAGTATATATAGCAGTCTTGTAACTTCTCTCAGGGTCCGGCTAAGCAATGGTTAAAGCTTATAGGAGGAGTTTTCATTATCCTCTGACTGTTCTGTGAGGCTGCAAGACCCCTGACACTCTGTCTGGACAGTGCTGATTGGCCCTGTGCGGATCACATGCACCCGCAAAAAAAGAAAAAAAACCTCTCTAGCAATACAAAAACAAACTGAGCCTGTGCAGAGTGCCTCCTAGGGCTTTGTACTGTCAACAGATGGATTGGGGACTGTGGAAGAAGCGGAGGATCAGAGAAGACAAAATCAAACAGCTTTTTTAGACAATGCAGAGAATTAATCCCTTAGATTCCACAGTGAGTATAACAAGCATGCTTTACTGCATATCCATTTGCCCTCTGGAAGATGTACCCCCTTCATGACCAGGCCATTTTTCGCTATACAGCACTGCACTACTTTAACTGATAATTGCACAGTCGTGCAACACTGTAAACAAATGAAATGCATATCTTTTTTCACACAAATAAAGCTTTCTTTTGGTGGTATTTGATAACCACTGGATTTTTAATTTTTTTGTCAGATTTAGCTAACAATTGCGCGGTCATGCAACGCTGCACCCAAATTAAATTTGTGTCCCTTTTTCCCATGAATAGAGCTTTCTTCCGGTGGTATTTGATCGTCTGTGCATTTTTATTTTTTGCGCTATAAAAAAAAAGACCGACAAATTTGAGAAAAAAAACAATATTTTTGAATTTTTGCTATTAAACATATCCAGTAAAAAAAAAATATAAAAAATCAAATTCCATCATAAATTTTGGCTAAAATGTATTCTGCTACATGGCTTTGGTAAAAAAAATCCCAATACGTGTAAATTAATTTACATGACATTTATAGCGTTTACAAATGGCGGTATATACACTGGGATTTTTTTCTTTTTTACTATTTTTCTAGTAATGGCTGTGATCAGCGTCTTATAGTGGGACTGCAGTGGGTATTCTGACACTGGGGGGAACTGACTTGGTGTAGCTGACATCCCCAGTGACACCAATACAGTGATCAGTGCTAATAAAAAGCACTGACACTGTACTAATGGCACTGGGCAGGAAGAGGTTAACATCTGGGGAGATCAAAGGGGTTAACTGTGTGCTGTTTTACATGCTGGGCTGTGTTTGTGCTTCACTGTAAGCATACTGCTTTGCATGGCTGTGCTATGCAAATCCATGCATAGCAGTGTGCAGGAGCTGACAGGGGAGAGATCTGTTTTGTTTACAAACTGTTCTCCCCCTGTTGGAGATGCTTGGCAATCACTGGGCGCTGGCGAGTAATCACCCGCCAAGACCTGGTGATTTACATTCAAGGCCACGAATGGCGGTACAGGTAGGGCGCCCCCTACCCGGAAATGCAAAATCACGTATATATACGTGATTTTGTACACCCATGCTGCCTTGTAGCAGTATAGGGTGGTATAGGGTGGACAGTGCTGTGTTATGATTGCAAGAAACAAAATGTATTTCCCAGCACACTTATCAGCTAGCCAGCAAAACAAAAAACAAACTACACTTTCTAATATTTTGTGGTAAAAACAGATTTTAGTTGCACAACATTTAAAAAATATGAAACTAAATTTGCTTTTACTGTTGATCTTGAAAAGTATTATTGTGGAATTGCCTGAATGCAGTTCTCTTTTTCTGCCACAAGATGGGGCTAGTGTAGACCTTGAGCCTCTGACTTGCAAAACATAGAACGCCGAATTCTGGGAGATGTAGTCTGGGCCATGAGCAGTTGTTGATGAAGAAACTACAAGACTCAATATGCCTGGAGGCAGGAGGAGCCCAGAGAAGGGGGTATAAATAGAAAAGCCAGGGAAAGAGTGGGCGTTGTTGGAAGATTGCCACCACCCAGGGCAGAGAGGCAGGAGCTGCTGAAGAGAGAAAGGGAGAGCGGGAGAACGTAGGGGGCGGTTAGGGACTTTATGTTGTGCTTGCAGCAGACCTTCATTGTTCAGGGAGCCCCTCACTTTAGCTGCAGATCGCTTCAAGGCCTGTCATCATGCCGTTGCAGAGAAACAGCTTATAGCCTGACTTAGTGGCTTGATACTGCTGCTGCTCAGGACTGCTCCAGAGTTGCTGACAGACTGCTATTATGATATTAAGTTTGCATTCATCAGATCATAAAAGACCGTTGCCTGGAATCAACACCACTTTAAAGGGGGGCTTCTCCAACAGAAAAGCCTGCTGCAACTGATCAGGGGGAGTTGGTGAGCAGGTCATTGGCCTATTATTGTCTTGTTTGCTGACTGTGCATATTATTTGTAAATATTATTTGTAAAAATCTATTACCCTTTGCCTTTTTCCATTACTTTGCACTTGCCCACTATTGAGCACCACTAGTTCTGTTTGGTCAGAGAGAGTCCACACTACAGAACCTTAACCCTCCTCCTACTTTTTAGGTCTTTACAGAGCTCAATGTTTCTTAAGACAATCTCACTGAGTGCAGGGCTAGCCAACACCACTGAGTGCACCAAACGTCTTCAAGGGCCCTAGCGTAGCCGGCAAAAGGCTAAATTTAAGGACTGTTTATAGTTCAATTGCTGTTGAGGACAATTCCCGGTATATTGACAATCTTCTTTTACAAAAGGCCTTAGCTCCCTTATTACAAGCGCCCACTGGCAACTTAGCCTTTAGATGTGTTGGTATTAGAGATGAGCGAATCGAACCAGGCGAACCGGAATTCGATACGAATATTTGCCTACTTCGGGTGCGCGAATCGGATTTTTCCCGATCAGCCGGCAAAAGTGTCCCTGCAGAGAGCTCCGCTATTTCTGACATTTCTCTGACAGTTCCTTCACATGTACAGCGGTTGAAACATTGTATCTATTAGTTTCCATTTAGGATACAGATGTTTCAACCGCTGTACATGTGAAGAAGCTGTCAGAGAACTGTCAGAAATAGAGGAACTCTGCACATACACTTTTTGCCGGTTTGGAATTCTTATTTTCATCCTACTTCTTCTTCTTCTTCTTCTTCTTCATCCTCATCCTCAGAAGAAGAAGAAGAGGATGAGGATGAGGATGAAGAAGAAGAAGAAGAAGAAGAAGTAGGATGAAAATAAGAAGAATTCCAAGCCGGCAAAAAGTGTATCTGCAGAGCTCCTCTATTTCTGCAGATACACTTAGAGGAGCTCTGCAGATACACTTAGAGGAGCTCTGCAGATACACTTTTTGCCGGCTTGGAATTAAACTAGACTATTTCTGAAACCGTGTAATAAGAGAAATCCTTTTGCGCTCTTATGCAGGTACACGCAAATACTAACTGGTATGCACAAAGTATTCTGCAGCTGCTAACATCCAATCTTATACCAAGCAGACAATAATCATATACATGTAAAAATGATGTAGCGCTAGAACATATATACAATATATTCACACGGTCACCCGGTGGGATAACTTATGTCTCGATATTATCAACGTCCTACAATAGTGAGGAAATCAGCATGTGCACAGCCAAAATATGTGAAGTCCTTAGTGCACACAATAGAACACTGCAAACTGATCCACACATAAAAATCCAGTGATCCGTGTCACATTCCTCTTAGGCATGCAAAATAGGGGAATGTGTATGAACCCACAAACCCTCGAATGTGATCCTAGAATGGCTAGAGTGGCCTCTCACCTCCAGCCTGCGACCCTACAGGGCCACAGCGCTTAATGTAGACTCACACCCACAAGACTGGGGTAGGCTCCTCTTAATGCTGGATCATAAAGATGTCTCTGCAGCTTCCACCTCTCCTCTGATGTCCTTGCGGGCCAGTAAGCCGGATGTGTCCCAGCTCAGATCCCCATAAGATATAAAGACATATCCTCCATAGTGTAAAACTGTTTATTAAAAGTCATAAAAACGAAGAAAAACACACTCACATGGGCCAAAAGACAAATCGCGTTTTCCCCATATGCTGGGTGTAAGCATAGACCTCAGAAGGTGTTCCAAAATGGCGCCACGCCGGAAGTGCGTCACCACGTCAAGCCGTCGACGCGTTGCGTCACGTGACCTCGTGACTTCATCAGGACTAACGTGATTGGTCTGTCACACTTCCTTAAATAGATCTGTGTTGGCACTAATGAAAACTAATGGGCGGGATCCCGGCGGCCATTTTCCTGTAGCCTGTTATTGATATCTACATCACACAGGATCCAGGACATAGAATACCCGGGACTAGATGCATTCATATCCAAAGGCTGTCAGAATAAACTGCAACCAAACTATGAATGTCCCATGAATGTTTCCATAAATGGATCCATTTATGGAAACAAATAGATACAATGTTTCAACCGCTGTATGGAGTGAATGTCCCAGAACTGTCAGAAATAGGCTATTTCTGACAGTTCTGTGACATTCACTCCATACAGCGGTGAATATGGAGTGAATGTCACAGAACTGTCAGAAATACATTTCTGCAGTTCTGGGACATTCATTTCACTCCATACAGCGGTTGAAACCGCTGTATGGAGTGAATGTCACAGAACTGTCAGAAATAGCCTATTTCTGACAGTTCTGTGACATTCACTCCATACAGCGGTTGAAACATTGTATCTATTTGTTTCCATAAATGGATCCATTTATGGAAACAAATAGATACAATGTTTCAACCGCTGTATGGAGTGAATGTCCCAGAACTGTCAGAAATAGCCTATTTCTGACAGTTCTGTGACATTCACTCCATACAGCGGTTGAAACCGCTGTATGGAGTGAATGTCACAGAACTGTCAGAAATAGACAGAAACTGTCACAGAACTGTCCTTCTTCTCATCCTTCGACTTCTTCTAATCCTTCTTCTCATCCTTCTCCTTCTTCTCATCCTTCTCCTTCTTCTCATCCTTCTCCTTCTCCTTCTTCTCATCCTTCTCCTTCTTCTCATCCTTCTTCTTCTCATCCTTCTCCTTCTTCTCATCCTTCTTCTCATCCTTCTCCTTCTCCTTCTTCTCATCCTTCTCCTTCTTCTCATCCTTCTCCTTCTTCTCATCCTTCTACTTCTCCTTCTTCTCATCCTTCTCCTTCTTCTCATCCTTCTCCTTCTCCTTCTTCTCATCCTTCTCCTTCTTCTCATCCTTCTCCTTCTCCTTCTTCTCATCCTTCTCCTTCTTCTCATCCTTCTTCTCATCCTTCTCCTTCTTCTCATCCTTCTCCTTCTCCTTCTTCTCATCCTTCTCCTTCTTCTCTCCTTCTTCTCATCCTTCTCCTTCTTCTCATCCTTCTTCTCATCCTTCTCCTTCTTCTCATCCTTCTCATCCTTCTTCTCATCCTTCTCCTTCTTCTCATCCTTCTCCTTCTTCTCATCCTTCTCCTTCTTCTCATCCTTCTCCTTCTCTTCTTCTCATCCTTCTCCTTCTCCTTCTTCTCATCCTTCTCCTTCTCCTTCTTCTCATCCTTCTCCTTCTCCATCTTCTCATCCTTCTCCTTCTCCTCTCTTCTCATCCTTCTCCTTCTCCTTCTTCTCCTTCTTCTCATCCTTCTCCTTCTTCTCATCCTTCTCCTTCTTCTCATCCTTCTCCTTCTTCTCATCCTTCTCCTTCTCCTTCTTCTCATCCTTCTCCTTCTCCTTCTTCTCATCCTTCTCCTTCTCCTTCTCCTTCCTCATCTCCAAGGGCATTTAAATTAAAGGTACAGTGTTCTGCACTAATTTAAAGGCTCTCTGAAGCCTAGAAACCCTTTTTATAAGTTAACTTCGTAGCGAATTAATTCACATCGAATCGAATTTCTTCCTGAAATTCGGCGAATCAGCCGAATCGAATTTTTGAATAATTCGCTCATCTCTAGTTGGTATCTGTCTTGGTTGCCTTTTTGGATGCTCATTTAGTGAGGAGAGCTACAGTTTACACTGGTCTGTTTTGAGTTTATGGTAGTACTTTAAATACCTCAAGTGACTCCTCAGTGTATTGTGCATGCTGTTAAATATTTTTTTTTACTGCTATTACTCTAATCTGATAACTAATTGACAATATACTTTGTTATTTGCTATAAAGTCTCAAGTCTAATTTCAGGGTGACCCTAAAGTATTGACAATTTACTAGTAGGTTTGTTGCATTTACCAACGTCAGAGTAAGAACCGAGGACCCGGCATTACCAGCCACTCCTGGTAAGTTCGCGCCATCTCATCAATCTATGAGATTCTCCATGTTTGGGCAAACATGGATTAAAAAATTAAGGGCAGGTATACCTGGAGGGAGTCCATTCTTCCTTAAAAGCCTTAGAACAAAGTGCATGTGAAAAGGCTTTGCTCTACAAACAAAACAAAATGTATTTCTTAGCAGACATCATCTAGCCTTGCTCTAAAGGTTAGTTATAAAATGGTGGGGGGTTGCCCTTTTTGTTTAGCTTGTTGTGTTATGCTTCCATTTTACCTACAAACGGTGC